ACCTCGTGATCTACCCGCCTCAGCCTCCCAAAGTGCTGGGATTACAGGCTTGAGCCACCGTGCCCGGCTCCTTTCATTTTTTTGAGATAGTTTCGCATTTCTTGCCCAGGCTGGAGTGCAATGGCATGATCTCGACTTACTGCAACCCCCACCTCCCAGATTCAAGTGATTTTCCTGCCCCAGCCCCCCGAGTAACTGGGATTACAGGCATGCACCACCAATCCAGTCGATAATTTTTTAGTTTTAGTAGAGACAGGGTTTCTCCATGTTGGTCAGGTTGGTCTTGAACTCCTGACCTCAGGTGATCCACCTGCCTCAGCCTCTCAAAGTGCTGGGATTATAGGCATGAGCCACTGCGCCTGGCCAGGTTGTAGGTTTCATGGCAGAAGTTTTGGGGTTTTATGTCTGAACTACATCCTAAGAAAAATAAATAGAAAAAGGGTCAAATACCGAGTGTGAAGGGGGAGTTGAAAAAGGAGGTAACAGTGTTGAAGGATGAGTAGAGTAGAAAAGGCTTAAAATGGTAATTGAGAATGACTTGGCCAGAGGGAAATGGGAGAATTGTTGGGCCCTTAATCCCAATGTTAAGGGCCCATTTGAGACTGGAACTCATAAATTTAAAGTGGTATAAATTTGCCCTATTAAGTAATTTTCTCTTGAGGCATAGGAACAGAGGCAGGAACAGAGGAAGACAGGAGAAATGTATCTGGGGAAGGGGAGTAAGGAAAGGGAAGAAATAAGGTGCAGACTTTCCAATTACAATATCTAAAAGTGAGGTGGAGAAAGCTGCATTGAGATGAATAGTTGCATTTGCACAAAGACTTAAAGGAGAAGGGGGCAAGCCATGTGTATAACCTGAATTCCAAACTAGGTAAAGACAGTAAGATAAAGGATGATTACCAGTCTCAGTCACAAAAATGGACACAAAATGCTGAACAAACCTTGTGCTTAAAGACAACACAGCATGATCAGCTCAGGTTTAATCACAGGAATAGAATTTCAGTTTGCCATTAGAAAAAAATATGCAAATCTTATTTACCACTTTAACAAAGGAAAAAATCCATATGATCATTTTGATAGCTATAGTGTGATAACCTGCTTTTTGCCAGCTAAAACTCTCTCTTTCTCAGACTAAAAGCTGTTCAGGCTTTATGTTAGCTTCCTGAGCGGGACAGACTCCATCTTAGCTTCTTCATTTTAGTTATTTTCCCACCATTAGTATGTAACTATAGTATGTAGCTGGGGGCAGGCTGACACTGGGCACCTCCAGGAATGCATTTGTGGATAGGAGGCCAAGTTAAGTGGTACCAGCAGAGTCTGCAAATGCAGGTGCTGTCGAGTGCCCAGAGCCCTGTTAGATCTATAAGTTGTATGTCTTTCATGACAGCTTTACCCTGCACACCTGGCACTATTTAATTTCTCATGTACTAGTTTATCTTTTAACTTTTTACTTACTCTGCTTTTGTGAAAAATTTGCTTCCGTTAGGTTCCCCTCCCTTTTAAAACTAGAGTATAAAAGACCATCTTTTTCTTAGGGGCCAAGAGAAGTTGGGGCGTTAGCCACCTTTCTGTCACCGGCATAATAAAGGACTCATAATTCAATCTCAGAGTGTGGCGCATTCCTTAACTCACTCGGATACAACAATAGAAAAAGACTTTAATCATTGCAACACTCGTTCGTGATTTAAAACAAGACAAAAACAAGAAAGGAATAAAAAAAAGACTTAGCAAACTAAGAGTTTAGAATTGAAGATAAATTTTCAAAAAGTACAACTACCAAAAAGCTACATATGGTATCATTGTTATTAATAGAAACTTTAGAAGCATGCCCTTTAAGATAGGGAAGAAGACAAGAATGTCTGTATCAGTGCCTCTATTCATCTTTGTACTAAAGATCCCAGTCAGTGCATTCAGAAAAGGAAAAAAAAACTAAGGAGTGAAAAGGAAAAAACAAAATGTCATTATTCACAGATGATATGATTATAAAATCCCAGTTTCTACTAAATTATTAGGAGTAATGAGTATAACAAGCTACTAAATATAAGAATATCAGAAAGCAATTACATTTTTACATATCAGTGGCAATTAGAACAAAATGGCAACAAAATATGTTATTTATAAGTACAACATGTAAAACTTACATAGATAAAAAGATTAATTGATATTAAATACATTCTAAATAAATTGACAATATACTATGTTCAAGAATAGGAAGAGTTAGTTCTCTTTAAATTGATTTATAGATTCTGTGAAATTCCAGTACAAATCCAGCAAGTTTCTTTTAATGGATGTTGGAAGAGCGATTCTAAAATTACTTAAAAAGCAAAAGTTCAAGAATATACAGGATACTTATGAAGAAAAAAATAAGGTCTTATATTTGTCCTATAGATACCAAACGTTTAATAAAGCTGGAGTGATGAAAACTGTGGTTGTGGCACAGGGGTAGGCAGACTAACTAGTGGAACAGGCCAGGAAGCTGACTAAAGAACACAGGAAAACTTGACATATGATATAGGTGATCTAGGGAGAGTGCACATTTTTCAATAAATGATCATACAACACTTGGTTTCCACATGGGGGGAAAAGTAACTGGATCCCATCTGATACCATGCACAAAAATCAATTTTAGAGGAATGAAGTCTTAAAAATGAAAAAACCTTAAAACTTTTACAGAAACTATAGGGGAATATTTTTATGACTTCAAAGTAAAGATACATTTCTTTGAAAAGACACAGAAAAACAAACCACAAATATTAATAACCAGTATATATAAAGGCCTACAAAAAGAATAATAAACTTGTGCTGGGTGTGGTGGCTCATGCCTTAATCCCAGCACTTTGGGAGGCTGAGGTGGGAGGATCACTTGAGGTCAGGAGTTAAGTATCAGCCTAAGCCTACATGGTGAAACCCCATCTCTACTAAGAATAAAAAAATTTAATTAGCCATAAAAAAGTTAGCTGGGCATTGTAGGGCGGGCAGGAGGGTGTGTGTGTGGGGGCGGTGGCTTCTGTAATCCTAGCTACTCAGGCTAAAGCAGAAGAATTGCTTGAACCTGGGAGGCGGAGGTTGCAGTGAGCTGAGATTGCACCACTGTATTCCATCCTGGGTGACAGGGCAAGACTCCTTCGGAAAAAAAAAAAGAAAAAGAAAAAGAAAACAAGAAAAAGAAACATGTAACACCAATTTAAAAACAGGCAAGAAACCCAAATAGATATTTTAAGAAAAAGGAAATGCACATGGCCAATAAGGATTAAAAGAGCTGAATCTTATGAGTGACTGGAGGAATGAATATAAAAGACCCAAAAGAAATATCATTTTACATCCACTAGAATGGCAAAACTATAAAATCTGACTACACTGAGTGAAGATGAATGTATGTAACAAAGGGAACTCATTCAGTGGGTGGGAGTATAATTGTGAAACAATTATTTGGTTTAACTGAAAATCACCTAGCAATTTCCCTCCTAGATATTGTGCTCTGTAGAAACTCCAGCAGGTATGCAAGAGATTTGAATATTCACAGTAACATTGTTCATATAAGCCCTTTTCAGGAAATACCCAAGATATCTATGACAAGAAAATCAATGAATAAACTGTGAAACAGTGTCACCATGGAGTATTCACAGAGTAGTGAAAATGAACATTATTACATGTAATAATACAGATTTCCTCAGTGGCATAATATTGAGTTTTAAAAAATGTCAGAATACTCTTATGGGGCAATTTTTTATAATGACAAACGTGAATGAAACTAAGCCATGTTCAACGACAGATTTTCATGTGGTAATAAAACTTAGAAAATGAGGGAGGGTGAATGATTTACATAAATTTAGGTTAATTTTCTTATATCCCTGAATGGGGAAAGGTGAGGGTCCAGGTGGGGGTCAGATGGAAGGGCCTGCCTGAGGATATTCAGCGAATGTTGGTAAAGCTTTACTTTATAAATTAGCTGGTATGTTCGTGATGTTTCATAATTTACATACTATTCTGCAATTTTCTCTCTTTTTTTTTTTTTTTTGACACGGGGTCTCACTCTGTCCCCTCAGATGATCTGCCTGCCTTGGCCCCTTAAAGTGCTGGGATTATAGGCATGAGCCATGGTGCCACCTGGCCCTTTTTTTTTTTTTTTTTTTTTTTTTAATTTGAGACGAAGTTTCACTCTTGTCGCCTAGGCTGGAGTGCAGTGGTGCGATCTCAGCTCAAGCAACCTCTGCCCTCTGGGTTCAAGCGGTTCTCCTGCCTCAGCCTCCCGACTAGCTGGGACTACAGGCATGCACCAACACACCTAATTTTTTTTTTTTTTTTTTTTTTTTTTCAGTAGAGACAGGGTTTCACCATGTTGTCCAGGCTGGTCTTCAACTCCTGACCTCAGATGATCTCCCTACCTCGGCCTCCCAAAGTGCTGGGATTACAGGCATGAGCCATTGCACCAGGCCTATTTATTTTTATTATTATTTTAAAATAAATATCATTATGTTCTTTCTTAACTTTTGGCGCTCCAAATAAATGAGGAAACAGAATTTTATTCAACAATCTTTGTTTGATATCTCCTTTGATACCTGAATTTTTACCAGTGTATTACCAGTTATATTTAAATTTTTACAAGAGATGTGCAATGGCGTGATCTTGCTTACTTTGCAACCTCTGCCTCCCAGGTTCAAGTGATTCTGGGGCCTCAGCTTCCCCAGTAGCCGGGACGACAGGCACCCGCCAGCGCGCCCGGCTAATTTTTGTATTTTTAGTAGAGACGGGGTTTCACCGTGCTGGCCGGGCTGTTCTAGAACTGCTGACTTCAGGTGATCCGCCCACCTTGGCCTCCCAAAGTGCTGGGATTGCAGGCGTGAGCCACCGCACCCAGCCGCAATTTTCAAGATGATAAACACTGAACACTTAAAACACTGGAAGGCACCAGGCCGCAAGTGTCCTCGAGCCAGCCGCGGCGGCCAAAGCATCACAGGCAAGCGATTTCGGCGCGCAATCGCCCCTTGGGGGTGGAGCCTCGGCCCCCAGTTTACGCCTGCGCGCTGCGTCCAGCCAATCAGCGACGTGCCCAGCTGAGGCCAGACGGGCGTTTCTTCAGCGCGAATCTCGGCTTGCCTCAGAAGCGTCGCGGCTAGCGGGTGCTTGGGGCGAGGTGTGCGGGTGGCGGAGCGGAGGGGGAAGCCGGTCGGAGAGACCGGTAACCGGTCCGGCCCTTGCGGTGTGTTTCAGGTGTGAGCAGGGGAGGCGTTTGTCCGTTCCAGGTGTCCAGGCCAGAGGCCGCCCTTGCCCAGTGAGGTGAATCCTACCTCCTGGCGGTGTCTGGGGACTCTGACGAGGACTTGAAAGGAGGCCGCCAGCCTCACTGGGGCCCTGAGGGAGCGGGCCGGGGGCAAGCAGGCGGGCGGGGCCCGGACCCTGCGCCCTGGGACCCCGCCTCGGCGCCCGTCTCCCTCCTGCCCGCTCCACAGCGAGGGCGCCTGTCGCGGTTCCTCGAAACGTTCGTTATTTTCCAAGACCTAACAATGGCAGGGCGTTTTTCTTGTGTATCTGCCTCCCTATTAGGAGCTTATTTCAGGCGTGCTCACGGCGTGTCCCTCCGGCGGCCGCGGTTTCCCCGCGTGGCCGCCGGGACCGCCTCTCCGGCACGGCGCGCTCGGCGTCGGGGCGGCGGGGGTCCTGCGCTCTCATTCATTTGTTTATTTAATGTAATGTAATTTTACTTCAATTTTTTTTTTTTTTTTTTTTTTTTTGAGACGGAGTTTCGCTCTCGTTCCCCAGGCTGGAGTGCAATGGCGCGATCTCGGCTCACCGCAGCCTCCGCCTCCCTAGTAGCTGGGATTACAGGCACGCGCCACCACGCCCGGCTCATTTTGTATTTTTGGTAGAGACGGGGTTTCTCCATGTTGGTCAGGCTGTTCTCACTCCTGACCTCGTGATCCGCCTGCCTTGGCCTCCCGAAGTGCTGAGATGACAGGCGTGCGCCACCGCGCCCGGCCTTTTTTTTTTTTTTTCTTTGAGACTAAGTTTCACTCTTGTTGCCCAGGCATGAGTGCAGTGGCTCGATCATGGCTCACTGCAACCTCTACCTCCCAGGTTCAAGCGATTCTCCTGCCTCAGCCTCCTGACAAGCTGGGACTATACGCAGGCACCACCATGCCCGATTAAAATTTTGTTTTTTTGTTTTTTTCAGTAGAGACTGGGTTTCACCGTGTTGGCCAGGATGGTCCTGAACTTCAGACCTCAGGTGATCTCCTTGCCTTGGCCTCCCAAACTGCTGGGATTACAGATGTGAGCTACCGCGCCCGGCCTATTTATTTTTTATTTTTTAACAAATGTCATTATCTTTCGTAATTTTTGGCCCCTCAAAAAATGAGGAAATTTAAAATTTTATTCAGCAATCCTTGTTCTTCATCTCCTTTAATATTTAAATGTTTACCAATGTATTAAAATGATGCCTTTGGATTCAGAAAGTTCAAGACATTTGTTTTTTAAAGTCAGGAAGCAGCTAGATATGGTGTCCTCCAGAAAAAAGCCTTCCAGGAAATCTGGGAAGCCATCCATGGAAGATCAGTTTACCAGAGCCTATGACTTTGAGACTGAAGATAAGAAAGATCTGAGTGGTTCAGAGGAAGATGTTATTGAAGGTGCAGTGCATCTCATGTTGAGTAGTGATGTCCTCCAGTTCATTTGTTTTGAACCCATTAAAGACTATCCTACAACTTAGTTTGTAAAGCATTTTCAGGTGTAATCTTCTCCTGGTATTTGTGGTTTCAGAACCTGCTGACACAGATGGCCACTGTACTTTGCCTTTCTCATTTGATCCTTATACTGCAGTGTTGGAATTACAGAAGCTTGTGTGGCAACTGTTGCTTTTGCAGTTATTTCAAAATATTCGATATACAGTATGTGGCTTACTGTGACATTAACCTAGGCAGAATTGAAAAATTGTTCCTATAAAATGGACCTAAATCCTGATTTAATTTCTTTTTTTGTTTGTTTAAAGATGGGGTTTCACCATGATGGCCAGGCTGGTCTTGAACTCCTGACCTCAGGTGATCCACCCACCTTGGCCTCCCAAAGTGCTAGGATTACAGGTGTGAGCCACCGCGCCTGGCCCTGATTTAATTTCATCTAAGCTGCAGAGAATGTTGCATTTGTATGTCTGCTTTGAAGCATAAAAATCCCCAAATGAAGATGTTTCATTAAAATGTACTAAAATAGCCTATTCAGTTTCAAAAGTTTTTTTTTTTTTTTTTTTTTTTTTTTTAATTGTCAATACAGGGAAGACTACAGTCATTGAGAAACGTAGGAAGAAAAGATCTTCTACAGGAGTAGTTGAAGATATGGGGTAACATGTTCAAAATAATTTGTTTCTTAGATAATACACTTCAATAAAAGTTTACTTTGGCTGTCTAACAAGTAATATATGTAAAATACCTGGGATCTGATATTTCTTCCAAAACAAGCATGGCATTTGGTGGATCTTTAAATGTTTTTAAAATGTAATTTCTTTACAGAGGTGAAGTACAGAATATGCTGGAAGGAGTTGGAGGTATGTTTAAGGAGATACTTGTCTTTAAAGAAAATTGTTTTAAACCATATAATTTGTTTAATAGGAAATGTTAATAATGTACTGTAAGATTGTTATTTAAGCCTTGTTCTCACATGAAGGTTTCTGCATAAGTATTTGTGATTTAGCATCATAGATTTTCATACTTAATTTTTTCAATGATGTTAAGAGTAAATGGTGCTTTTATTTTATACATATGTGAATTTAATGGGTTATGGAATCTTAGGACAAAAATGGACAGGAAAGTCTTTACCCTTCTTTGTATTCACAGACTAAGTTATACACATACATGTATACATATATTTGTGTATATATATCAGTTTTTCATTTTTTCAGTTTAGTTATTTTCTGACTTTTCCTGTGTTCTTTAGGGAGAACAGTATAAATTGAAGCCTCTAAAATAACTTTTTACTTAATAATAAACTATAGTTGATACGAAAGACAATTTTGCTAGATAGTGAGAGTTTTATAACTGGGTTCAAAAATTCTCGTTTTAAATAATATATTAAATATCAGTAATATGAGCTTTGCTAGGGATTAGTTATCTTAAAAAAGTTAATATTTAGCTCCTCTAAATGAATTATTCATACAATCAAATCTTTTTTGAAAGCTTTGCTCTATCTGGTGGTGAAAAAGTGCTTTTTCATACATTTATTATAGATAATACTGAAAGTATAAAATATGTAATAGTACAGCTCCATCATGATTGCTGAAAGATTTATGGTAGATCCCTAAGATAAAAGCTTGTGTTTAGCAAAGCATTCTTTGAAGTAGCATTTTACGAAATGCAGTTCTTGTGGGTAAAAATGCCCAATAAAGACCTCCATAAAAGCATTTAAAAGTGATCTTATTCACCTATTTCTCATTGAAAAAATAAAGTGATCTTGAGTTAATTTATCTAGAAATTTACTTAAAGATTTTTCTGTCCTTGGTCTTTGTCTCTTTTAGTAAAAAATGTGTTTAAAATAATCACTGATGGCCAGGCACAGGGGATCACACCTGTAATTCTAGCACTTTGGAAGACCAAGGCAGGGAGTTGAGGCCAGGAGTTCAAGACCAGCTTGGTCAACACAGTGAGACCCCCCCGCTGCCCCGACCAATGTCTTAAATATAAATACAAATGTATATATATAATTGATTGTATTAAAAATAGTTTTCTTGTTCTTTAACTTTTATCCTTTTTGGATTCTGTTTTTTAATAGAGTACTTTTGCATATTTTCTGTAATGAGTTATATCAATAATTCATTGAAATCTGCCCTTTCAGTTGGGGCATATTGTATAAATTTAGATAAAATTAGCTTTTTTTTTTTTTTTTGAGACGGAGTCTCACTCTGTCACCAGGCTGGAGTGCAGTGGCACGATCTCAGCTCATTGTAACCTCTGCCTCCCAGGTTCAAGCAAGTCTCCTGCCTCACCCTCCCGAGTAGCTGGGACTATAGGTGCGTGGCACCACACCCAGCTAATTTTTGTATTTTTAGTAGAGACAGGGTTTCGCCATATTGGCCAGATGGTCTCCATCTCTTGACCTCGTGATCTGCCCACCTCAGCCTCCCAAAGTGCTGGGATTACAGCAGTGAGCCACCCTGCCTGGCCTAAATTTAGTCTTTATTAACAGTGTTTTCTCATGAGGAAATTAAAGTCTGCTCTTGACACATTGTTTTGTTTATTAGCTCATTTTTACTGTTCCCAAGTTAAATTATCTCCAGTTAGGAAAATCAGAATTTGGGTACTAATAATTGAGAGTTTTCTCAGAAAAAAAAAAAAAGTAAGCAAATAATTCTGCATTTTGAAATTATGCTTATTTCTAAGTTTAAGTTTAAATGTCTTTCTAATATTGTTGAACCAACCTTACCCATATTTACTTGAATATGGGGGAACAAAATACTTTTTTAATATTAAATTTTAGTGAATTTTTATTTTCAATCTAGTTGACATTAACAAGGCTCTTCTTGCCAAGAGAAAGAGACTAGAAATGTATACCAAGGCTTCTCTCAAAACTAGCAACCAGAAAATTGAACATGTTTGGAAAACACAACAAGATCAAAGGTAAGGTGGTTGCTTTTTTTTTTTTTAAGAGCTGCATTTCTTAGTATTTATTCGTGTAAATTACTTATGAAAAATACAATTCTAGGCCAGGCACGGTGGCTCATGCCTGTAATCCCAGCACTTTGGGAGGCCAAGGCAGGCAGATCACTTGAGGTCAGGAGTTCAAGACTAGCCTGGCCAACATGGTGAAACCCCATCTCTACTAAAAATGCAAAAATTAACCAGGTGTGCTTGCTTGAACCCAGGGGGCAGATGTTACAGTGAGCCGAGATCATGCTGGTGCACTCCAGCCTGGGCAACAGAGTGAGACTCTGTCTACAAAAAAAAAAAAAAGGAAAGAAAAGAAAAGAAAAATACTATTCTAGTTATTGGGGTTTCTAATGAAAATGTATTTGGCTTGATTTTTCTCTAAGTATGATAGTCCTTTAGCCCTATAACCTCACTCCTTCATAGAATTGACATATATTTCCTAAAAAATCAGGAAAGATCACTTTTTTCCTTTTGGGTAAGAATTGAGTTTATAAAACTAATTTCTTTTTTTTTTGAGGTGAGGTCTCGCTATGTTGCCCAGGCTGGTCTTAAACTCTTAGGCTCAAGCAGTCCTCCCACTTTAGCCCCCCAAAGTGTTGGGATTACAGGCATGCACCACCACGCCCAGCCTAAAAGTAATTTATATTCATTCTAAGAATACACTAGTTGAATAAAAGGTAAATGTCATAAAAACCATTAGTCTTATGGTGGTGAATTATGTTCAACAACATGGAAAAACACCAGCCTTATATTGTATATAATTTGTATGTTTTAGCTGACTTAACTCTTGTACAAAATCTTTGTTAAGCCAAAACAGGGAAAAAACTAAGTGAAATATTTCTGTTTAAAAATCTTATATGGTAAATACAATCACTTTATTTAATCTATTTGTTTTATCAGAACCTATATTCGGTAGAGAAAAAAGGAAAAATAAATTGGAGATAAGATAAATTGCTTTTTGAAAATTTATGTATACAATAAAACTTTTAGTTTTCAAGGGCTAAAGCTTGTGACAGGACTTTTCTTCTATTAGCTTGTTAGAAAAAAATACTTCTGGAATCATTGTAAATCATAACTTCACTTCTTGGTTTCCCATCAGAAGACTTAAGCTGCAGATAAGATATTTCCTTCTTTTATATAGTAAAAATGTGTCAACTTGGTTTTGTTTTAAATTCTTTTTACATTGGTATGAAATACAATAATTAATTATTATGTTTTACAGGCAGAAACTTAACCAAGAATATTCTCAGCAGTTTCTGACTTTGTTTCAGCAGTGGGATTTAGATATGCAGAAAGCTGAGGAACAAGAGGAAAAAATACTTGTTGGTATCATGATTAGATTTATAATTAATCTGTTATAACCAAGTCTCAAGTAGGAATGGAGAACCTAGCCTTTTACTGTGACCAGTGGAACTGAGCCAGGTTTCATTAACCATTGTTGGCCATGTGTTTTAGTCTTGCTGAACTGTAAACCACGAAAGTAGAGGCACATACCATACTCATAAAAGTCATTGGTCTTTGCTTCTTATATTGGTTGGGATTCTTGCATTTCCAAGTGACAGAAATTTGTCAGCATACAAAAGAAGGATTATTGGTTTATATAAAAGAAGTTGGGACAGTTTAGCTTCAGGCATGGGTGGATGGGAACAGGGAAGGGGTTGCTCATGTAGTGTCATCTGGGTTCTGTCATCAGTTCTCAGTAAGGTGTCTCGATGTAGTAAGCAAGATAGTTTTTACAGTCCTAGGCTTATTATAAGTTTAGTAACCCCAGTGGACTGAGAAAATCTTTTTCAATACCTCTGGCAGAAAATTCCTCTGGAAAAATATGACTGATGTAGTTTGAATCATTTGCCTATTCTTGAACCAGTCATTGTATAGTTAGCCCTCTGTATGTGTAGGTTCCATATCTGTGTATTCAACCAATTGTGGATGAAAAATATTTGGAAGAGGCCAGGTGTGGTGGCTCATGCCTGTAATCCCAGCACTTTAGGAGGCCGAGGTGGGTGGATCACCTGAGGTCGGGAGTTTGAGACCAGGCTGACCAATATGCTGAAACCCTGTCTCTACTAAAAACATGTTAGCCGGCTGTGGTGGCGCATGCCTGTAATCCCAGTTAGGAAGCTGAGGTGGGAGAATAGCTTGAACCTGGGAGGCAAAGGTTGCAGTGAGCTGAGATGGTGCCACTGCACTCCAGCCAGACACTTTCTAAAAAAAAAAAAAAAAGAAGAAAACAGTAAAAAATACAAACTGGAAAAGTAATCCAGTGTAACAACTATACAGCATTTACATTGTGTTATGTATTATAAGAGATCGAGAAATGACTTAAAGTATGTGGAAGGATGTGTATTGGTTATATGCAAATATGATACATTTTATATTAGGAACTCAAGCATCTGCAGATTTTGGTCTCCTGAGGGGTTGAGCGTCCTGGAACTGGTCCCCCCAGGATACCAAGGGACATCTGTAGTCAGAACATGGTTGACTTAATGGCAGATTTGTGTTACCTGTCAGTAAGGAAACTGGGGTAGGGATGATAGGAAAGCAGATAGGATGGATTTGTGGTGCAGATATATTATTGAACTGCAGTACTAAAGAGAGTAAGTTAGAATGGTGAATGGTAAAGAGCTAGTGGTTAACTACTAGGACATATAGAGAAACAGTATATATAATGGTTAGATCCCGGATGCCAGAAACAGTACTGTTTGGGATCAAATTCTTGTTTGAGCAATTGTTAGCTGTGAAGCCATGGACAGATTATGCCTCAGTTAACTCATCTATGAAAGGGGAATGATGAGTATCTGTCTCTCAAAAAGTTTACCATTATTAATACTGTGTAGTGGTTAGAGTTATTGGTAATGACAAAATCTAGGGTGGGAGTATGTAAGTCAATGGCTAAAGTAGGGTGGAGGACAAAATCATTGGGAAATAGGTCAAAGAACTGAAAGACCGTTATTATTGGAAGGATCATCTGTGTGGACATTGAAATCACCAAGAATGTCTTGATTATTGTTAAAATTTCCCTTTCAGCAACTGGTAGGATTAATATATTGTTGCATATTAGTGGTGAACACAAATTATCTAAACATGATCATAATAGTTGTTAAAATTTTTAAAGCTCTGATTTTTAAAAGTTTCTTTTAAGTTTAATGTAGAATTATTTTTTCTAAATTTAAAATTTTACCCAAATTGTTACTACAGTTTTTTTCTTTTATATTTGTAGAATATGTTTCGACAGCAACAAAAGATTCTTCAACAATCTAGAATTGTTCAGAGCCAGAGACTGAAAACAATTAAACAGTTATATGAGCAGTTCATAAAGGTTTGTTGTATGTGGCAACACAATATATTGTTATAAAACATAATTTATTTATGGAAGTAAAAGATAATTATTTCTAAGTTTATGGAAAAATTTTTTTAGATTTTTAACTGCTTTTTCATTTTGAATTCATTGTTTCTGATTTAAGTGATGTATTTTTACTTTAGGATTCAGATGGTTTTGTTGAGATTGTTCAGGACAGGAAATGGTAAATTGGGAATTTTACTTAGAAATGTACTTATAATGCATAAAATTCATACTTTAGTAACACTTTAGTCATAGTTCTCTGTTTAACTGTAAATAGAGTCTATAGTAATCATTTTTAGGTTGTGTTTTACTTGTTATTGTATCCCCAGTGTTTGTTAAATAGAAAGTACCCAAATTATTGAAGTCTCTTGTTTTCAAATGTATTATAGAAGTATTTTATGACATATTTGCTTTTAGAATCATTACAGGGACTAAAAATGAATGAATTTACATACCAACATAAAATACTTGATATAATAGACATCTGAGGATTAAAAGTCTGGATTGATAATTATCTACTGACACATATATATTAGCAAATTGTAGTCTGTACCCCTCTTGTTCAGGCAGAAATATATTTTTTAGTAACTATTCACAGAAGCTCAATGGAATCTTACATAAACTTTTTTTCAGTGGTGGTTCCTTTAATGCTCTTGTTCAAATACATGTTAAAATGACATTAAAAGAATTGGGACACTCTGAGTAAACTAGTCAAATTGTTTTAAAATAAATATTTCAAAATAATATATATGGCCAAGCACAGTGGCTCACACTTGGGGAGGCCAAGGTGGGAGCATCACTTGAGCCCAGGAATTCAAGACCAGCCTGAGCAACATGACAAAACCCCATCTCTATTTAAAAACCAAACAAATGAAAAAAATAGCTGGGCATGATGGCACTCATTTGTAGTCCCAGCTACTTGGGAGGCTAAGGTGGGAGGATTGCTTGAGCCCTTGAGGCAAAGGTTGCAGTGAGCCGAAATCCTACTACTGTACTCCCAGCCTGGGCAACAGTGAGACCCTGTCTCAAAAAAAAAAAAAAAAATTATACACACACACGTTATTTTAAAAAGTATTTCCAAATGGAAAACTTGTTGGCTTGCTGTGATGCCAACAAGTATAGAAAAAAGTATATTGAACCATTTGGTAATTGGTACAAAGTTTTGATAAAGTACTAGATAAAGATTTCTTCTAAATGTTATCACTAAATGTTACTATTAAGGGTAGAAACTATAGTATAACCTTTAATTCCTCCATCTCCTTTCTCTGTTACATTCAGTTATTACTAGGCCCTGTAATTTTTACCTCTGCAGTGGTTCTTTTTATTCCCACTGCTACTACCCTAGTTTCGGACCTCATTATTATTTGCTCATACCATTAAAATTCTTAACTGATTTCTCTGTTCTCCAATCTATCCTTCCTACATCTGTTATATTATCTTTTAAAACTGTATATCTTCCTTCCTGAAAACTCTCAGTAGCCTCCCATTCTAAGTTCAAGATCCCCCTATGACATGACCCTCTTTTTAAGCTTCATTTACTACATTTATCCATTACCCTACCCCTCCATATAATTGCTTTCTCTCAACTCACTTCCATGCTTCTGCCCTTCCCCTAGAATATTTTTAACTCCTTATTCTTTATTGAAATCTTAGTGTTTTGCCAACTAAATTGGAATTAATCTCCATTTTCCACTATATAGCCACAGCAAGTTGTGTTTCTATTCCTATTATAAAATTTTTGTTTTGTTCCTATTTCTTTTTCTTATTGTCATCAGGAAGCAATCATGTATTACTATTTTTAATTTCTCCACAGCACTTAATATAGAACCTTTTATATAGTAGGCACTAGATTAACTATTTGTTGAATGAATAATAAAGATGTAAAACGTAATTTTTATTTTTTACAACTTGAAAGAGGTAGTACTACAGATTATTTTATTCCCTCTAGTGAATTAATGGCACACTATTAGTCATAAGTACATTATTACTTGATATTTGGAAAGCTTAATAGTCTTTTTTATCTTGACCTTAACAGTTCATGAAACCCATTTTGGGCAAAATATACTATATTGTACTTCTCATAATATTTTATTCACGTCTGATTTTTTTTCCTTTATAGTAGGTATTTTGGTATTCATGTATTAGAATATTTTTTATTTCAAATAAGTAATAAGCATTTGAATATTTTTAAATCACTACTTTTGAAAATTAATTGAACAACTTTAGAACTTGAGATAAAAAGTGGTGCTTTGTAGCTTAACTAGTCTTTTGTGTTTTTAGAGTATGGAAGAGTTGGAGAAGAATCATGATAATCTACTTACTGGTGCACAAAATGAATTTAAAAAAGAAATGGCTATGTTGCAGAAAAAAATTATGATGGAAACTGTAAGTGATCATATTAAAATTGAAAAAATAAAGATTAATATAAGCAATGAAATATTTTATTTGCTGAAATAGGTATAACACTTAACTAAAAATTAAACAAATGTTTAATATCTCCTTCCATGAAACAGCAGCAGCAAGAGATAGCAAGTGTTCGGAAGTCTCTTCAATCCATGTTATTCTGATGACTCTTTGAAGAAAGAACTTGAACCTAAGTAATATGATACAATTATATTAGCTAAGAAGCATAGTGTAAGTCTTTAGTAGCTTAATTATAACATCTTTAATAATAAATCTGTTTCATTGTAAGACTTCTGTTTCTGTTAAGTCAAATCTAAACAGTTATGTGAGTTAGCAACTACTCCTAAAGAATATGTATTGAGTTTTCAGCTCTTTAGTAATGATAGTGAATTTTTCTCTCTTAACACTGTCAATTAAATAAAGACAATTTAATTTTAGGTTTGGCTTCATTGTATTTGTATTAATCCCAAAAGGTAGAAAATGCTTCTATAGAAAATATAGAAGGTTCTATTCTTTAAGGGAAAAAAAAGAATACAAAATCTGTTTTACATGTACATCCTTTTCTATATACTTAAGTTATATAGCCACTTCTAATGACAATAAGCTGCATTTCAATTTGTGTTCTGGAATAAATTGCTAAAATCACCTCTGAAAATGAAATCACTAGCAATAGAACAATATATAAGTATCAGTTTTAAGACATAGATTTGTGAATATGTCATTGCCACAAAGACATCAAAATGTCACTTAATTGGGCTTAGTCTGCCATTAAATTAAGAGCACATCATTAACATATCTACTTATGGTTCAAGTATACCACATCTGTCTTTATTTTTTGAGATGGAGTCTCACTCCATCACCCTGGCTGGAGTGCAGTGGCACAATCTTGGCTCGCTGCAACCTCTGCCTCCCAGGTTCAAGCAATTCTCCTGCCTCAGCTTCCCAAGTACCTGAGAGTACAGGCATTTGCCACCACCCCTGGCTTATTTTTGTATTTTTAGTAGAGATGGGGTTTTGCCACTCATTTTTGCCTCTATAACCTACTCTTAGTTACAAGGTTTTCCAATTTTTAAAAAAAAACAGTTGTATACAGGCAAACTTTTATAACTGTGACAATCTACTTGTACAGGAAGAAATTAGGCTTCCACCATTTACGAATATTTGACATTACTTCCGAAATTTTTGAGCTTTGTAAAGGATTTTCCTTTTAAGCCAAAGTATATATTGGAATGTAAATCTTAAGTACTATTCATCCATGTAAGAAAATCCTTATTTGGGAAGTTTTACCAAAATAGTTAAAGGCAAAATAAGTGCTCCAGTGTTTTCTGTATACTTAATTCACATAAATATATATTTTTTGCTTTTAAGAAATACCATCTTTTACTGTTTTCTTCAATATGCCTTTTTCTTGCCTAAAACAAATGTAACACATGTTCATTAACTCCTTTTTCTGATTACTTCATCATATGGCATATAGTCTACTGAACTATTATATGAAATTAAAAATAGGGTCAGATGGGAATCTGAAGATTTGGATCCCCAGATCTTTGTGACAGTTCTAGTAGTAGTCATAATGAGTAATCTAAATACATTTAAATTAGAGTGGAAAGATAAGAATCAGTACCTAATGTACTTATTGGTTGAATAACTTTTACTTATTTTATCCCTTATCACATCAAATGAGTCTGTGTACTTGAAATAACTTTGGCTTTCTAAAGGGAAGATATTTTTTACCATGTTTTTCTAAGTTACTAATTTTCTTACATGTCAACTAACTTTTAGCTACTGTTTCATTTTTCATAAAAGGGAATATTTAACATCCACTTTTTGGTGACAATGAAATTTTAACTGAAAATATCAAGGAACAAGTTACCTTCATATGTTTTTTCTGAATTGGTACAACGAATTCCTTTTATTAAATACAAAGTTTATTTTTAAAATTCCTGTAGCTCCTTTAAATTCTAGTATACTAAAGCAAGTATTTTCCATTATAACATACTAATTAACATGCCTCTTTTGAAAAACGACTAGTATAAAAAAATTTCTTACAACATCACATGACTCAATGATTACAATATTATAATCAATGTACTTAAGCAGTATTATGAGCTCACTTTTCAGTTTTTAGCAATCAAAGTAAGCACCCTCAAGATGGCTAAAATCCTTTATGTTCTAAATATTTATGTAATCCTTTGGCCATGAAAACTCTGTGTCTGATAAGTCTCAGAAACAAACTGCTACTTAGAATTACAGGGGTTCACTTTCTTGTCCTCAGGATTGAAATTTCTTTCTTTAGTTTCTAATTAATATGTAGACTGTATCATTCTGAGAACAGCTGTGATAAAAAAAAAATACAGTGGGGGCTTCATAACTGAAATAGACACAATGGAATCTGCAGGGTTTATGTTTTACATTCAAATATAACCTTATTTGATAGTATACTAGCCTCCTGCACAGGGGGATTTCCTTCACACATAGATTCCCCTAACTTCATCTCCTCTTTTCCTTGGGCTATTAGTCAGTCAATATGCTTGTGAACCTGTTCAGGAGCTTGATGACATGCAGTCTTGAATATATTTAGATGAAGGTGTCTTGAAATTTGCAGGCACAAAGCACTAAAGTATATCACCATATCAAATGAAGAAATGACCTTTAGAAGTAAAAAAGAAAATATAAAATGGATTATGATCTTTTCTCAAGTAGCACAGTTCTGTTTTTCCCTCAGATATCAAAATGTAACCTAAAATTCTTCACCAAAAATACTACCTTTTAAAGCACATTAATACATTTCATATTTGGACCTCACTGTAGTCTTCTGGAAAATACAGGTTATTTCACAGTTATAGACACAGGCTCAGAAGTAAAAAAAAGACTACTAAAAAAGACGACTAAAATACAGAAGCTAGAAAGTAATAGAACCCAAGTCTCCTGACTCGACATTGTTTCAACTTTCTGCTGTGCAATGAAGCCACAAATTTCCTTCTATCAGCCATCTTATAATGAACTAATTCCATCATAAACATTTCTATTTCTTTGAGGTAAGTTGTAACAGGTTAAAAGGTCTAGAAAAGATACTATACTTGAGGCATATACAAAATTGTGTGTTAAAATTTAAAGAGGGCCTCTATTTAGAAACTTTGCCCAGAGTCAACAGTCAAATGCCTCTCTTCAGAAAATGAAACGTAGGTGAAATAGGAGCCTCATAGCTCTGCCCTTGGAATTCTCATCCATGAAGGGAAAATATCATTTACTTTAAAAACTTACTTGAAAAGCACCATGTTTACCCCCACATTGTGTGTGTGCCTTTTTTTTTTTTTTTTTTTTTTTTTTTTTTGTCATCCACATAGTGTTTTAAAGAAAAATTGAATTTGACTTCCTCAGTTTACCAGTCTCCATCATGGGTGTGAACCAGGCCAATTACTTGTTACAACAGATGCTTGATTTTTTTGTTTTTTTTTCTGAGACAGAGTCTCACTCTGTCGCCAGGCGCCAGGCTGGAGTGCAGGGGCGCAACCTTGGCTCACTGCAATCTCCACCTCCTGGGTTCAAGCAATTCTCCTGCCTTAGCCTCCCAAGTAGCTGGGACTACAGGTGCGCACCACCATGCCCAGCTAATTTATGTTTTAGTAGAGACAGGGTTTCACCATGTTGGTCAGGATGGTCACAATCTCTTGACCTCATGATCCGCCCGCCTCGGCCTCCCAAAGTGCTGGGCTAACAGGCGTGTGCCATGCTCCTGGCAGATGCTTGATTTTTTTTTAACATCTGATATTTTAATTCAACAATTCCACTTGGTAATACATACCTAAGTTCACTAAAAGAAAACTTATACTGAGTTTTAAGATATTTTGATTAATTACCCCCTATTTTAAAACTGGATTGTTTTGGAGCCCTAAAAAATATTTATAGTGGATATTAAAGGTATTTGGGTTTTTAAACATTTTAAAAAAAAATTTTACCTGAAAATGTTCATTGTCCCCCTCAAAGAATTAAGTACACCTCATTGCTACCATAGGAAGGATGGAAGACTTTTGAATGGACTATGAATGAATATTGTTATTAACTTACTCCAGAAAGAACATACTACACAACCTAGTGAAAGATCATCAGATGTACTCCTGTAACTGATGCACAGAACAGATACAATTTTTTTTTTTTTTTGAGACACAGTTTTGCTCTTGTTGCCCAGGCTGGAGTGCAATGGTGCGATCTTGGCTCACTACAACCTCCGCCTCCCAGGTTCAGGCAATTCTCTTGCCTCAGCCTCCCAAGTATCTGGGACTACAGGCATGTGTCACTTTGCCCAGCTAATTTTTGTTTGTCTAGTAGGAACAGGGTTTCTCCATATTGGTCAGGCTGGTCTTGAACTCCTGACCTCAGGTGATCCACCCGCCTCAGCCTCCCAAAGTGCTGGGATTACAGACATGAGACACCGCAAATATCCAAATCTTAACAAATATAGTGAGATTATTTGAATTATCAAAAGATTCACCGCAGGGTTTTGGTGGGTTTTGTTATTGTATATTTATATATCACTCTGAATTTGGTGATGGCCAGTGGGATCCACAGATAGAAATACAACAAAACTATTCAAAGCCACCATTAATTAAAGACCAACCATAAACATATGTCTCAGTAATATAAAAAAAAATGTAATAATTCTCCATTTATCCAACTTTGTAATTGAAGTGTTACAATAATGATTTTCTTTTCCTTGGATGGCTAACGTGTCTCTCTCAAGCACTATATTCTGTATTTTACAGTCATTTTGAATAGAAATTAGTACATACGTTATCCACATCCTTAAGCAGGATATAATCAAAGGGAATTTAATTTGATTTATGACTGAGTTATAATTAATACAAATTATGCACTATCTTCAAGGACCATACACATATAAAAGTTTCTTACATTTGGCATAAAATGGTCTCAGAATACTGTACTTAGTAGCACTGTCTATTCTGTTTTGTCTCCTCAAATTCTTGACAATTCCTCAAATTGCTGACAATTCTCAATGCAATAAAATGCCTACCTTTGCTAGTACTAACCCCATCTAATTTTCCTGTTACCTGCTGTAAAGTGGGAATATTCTAATAAGCCTGATTAAATAAAGTCAGAAAGTCCTTTGGGCAAAGTAAAGTGGTTTTTGACATTTTTGCAGTGGTTTTTGGGGGGAGAAAAATACAGCTATTTTTAGGTACACAGTTGTGTTTCCAAGAATCTAGGTTGTTGGAAACCTGGCCTATAGATATGTGGCCATTTCTACCCACAAAATAAAATTATTCACAGCTTATGAGAAGTAATTTCAAATACTCAGAAACATTTATTGTATATATTGTATAGACCAGATCTTTTAATTTTTTAATTTTTTTAATTTGTTTTTTTGAGACAGAGTCTCGCTCTTACCCAGGCTGGAGTGCAGTGGAGTGATCACAGC